AAAGGGGCCAAATTTTATGGAGCGCTCTAAAAGAGGATTGCGCGTGAGAGACTCCAGACACTGGATAGGGTCTCGATAGAAGAGGTGGGGCTTGTTTTTGGTAGGGACAGCCGTTGTAATCTCCATGGTCTTCCAGGCTGGACCAGCAGGAAGCATTTCAGCTCTGTTTCTAAGGTCTTTGGCATTGCAAAACGATAGGCCAAGATTCTGAATCTATGGATATTTGTGTAAACAGGATTATATGAAGAGGAATACCAACTTACAACCGTTAACTTGAGGAATTTGTCCGTAGATGCCAAGCTTAGGTTTGACTGAAGCAGAAAGGAAGCAAGTTCCCATTCATCTCTTGAGGCAAACGGGTAATATATATTGAACTTTCGCTCTTCAGAATGCGTGTCTTGATCAAAAAGGTCCATAAATGTTGACCCAGGCCCATAGGTTTCAGAGGAGTTTGGATAGTGTTCTTTGAAATAGCGAGCTGGTGGTACGTCTGGATGAGATTCCGTTGCTGAGATTGTTGGAGTTCTTGGTGTGTCGACAGGCTCCTCAGAGAAGTCTACATCCATGTCCATAGGGGCAAAGTCTGGCTGTGTTCCTTCTCCATGAGACCCATAGCCTGAAGCTGGAGCCCCAACATCAGGGCTTGTAGGTTGAAGTAGCGTGGATTGAGGATTTCCTTCAAGTTGTTTCAAGAGACCCGTGTTGATTTCAAGAAGTTCATTGTAGTGGATAAGGCAAGCAGAGTATGGCTGATTCAGGTGGTTTTGCACTCGAATGTTATCCTTGAAGCTCTTTCCACAATGCGGGCAATACACCTTCATAAGAGTAGAATAGATGACGGCAAAATTTCACAGGTGGCTCAGCGCTGACCAGCCAAATACGTGAGAAAACATACTTCTGCATTCTTGGACACAATGTTTCTTCCCGTGACAATGAAAACCGATATGTAATACTAATGAATCTTGTACCCTCTTACCCTTCAAGGCCAAGCGATAAAGAAGTAAGATTTTGTCTTACGTAGCCATAAGTCAAAGTAAAACTGTACTGATGTACAACTCAGCCAGAAGACCCTTAGAACAGTTCTTCCCCTTCATCGTCGTGATATGTGGCATGGCTTTTTTCTTGTTATCGATGATGCAGTTGGGAAGCGCTGCTTCTCGGTTGTGTGGAAAAGGCCCAGCCTTCCAAAGTAACGATCTCCAGATGCGCTTTATCGATAATCTCGGACTCCTGTACTTGTCTTCAAGTGATGAACGATCGATGGGGATCATGGTGGTATGGAAAGTCAAAGTATGACAATAAGATTACTCATCATTATACATTACTCACGAATATTAAACTGGATATCTGAGGATGAGCTGTAAGTCCGAACTTCCGAAATCTCCCACCCAAGTCCATCACAAGACCCATCTTGCGACCCAACCAATCACCAAAGGAATTGCCTTGGCACATCCTAGATTGACTTGTTACTTAGATAGAAGTGAAGGGATGTCAGGTCACATACAGGTTTGCACGAAGTTAAGTGGGAATGGTAGATGTCAGGATTGTCGTTCCACCAACGTGCATTCAGTCTCTGAAGATAAACGGGGGCGACTCAAGGTATGGATTAACTATATGAGATTAAATTGTAAATTGTCAGACATGCAGCAATTTAGATATTAAGAAACGGACAGCATACCTCCTCATAGAAAAACAACCATTCAGCCTGCCAGGAAGCATGATCATTGCCATTCAAATGGGCTCCTTGAACAATAGGTGACACATTCTCATATGTCACAAATGGTATGTCCCATGGACTTTCACGGGATGAATGTCGCTGGAGCAGAGAGACAATACGTCCCCATGCTCTTGCCCTCCAACGCATAAGTATGAAACCTGTAATATAGATCTTCATTGATAATACTTCTTACTAGCAAATATGGGTTTGGACTTACAGAAGTGACAGGTAATAAAGTCCTGAAAAGTGGGGCAGGTTAGAATATCACGTAGAGGTTCAAAAAGATCCAATACTCACTGAGTAATAAAGAGAGCAGATAAGACAGCAATAGGAAAGCAGGTAGATAGCATGCAGTGAAGAATGAAATGAAGGAGTGCGATGGTGTATGCGCGCAACACAAACGAGAGGAGGGAGGACGATTAGCGTGAAGAAAGAGTTCAAAGTGATTTTGATGGAACTCGGTACGGTTGCGGGATGTCACGTGCGGGTTTCTAATTGTCAGAAACCACCCGTCTGTCTCTCTTGACCATTCCCTCCCTCTTCCAACTCCTAACGCCTTCTCCCATGCAGCACTCACATCACCACCCCACATCTTAATAAGT